TTCCCGACCCCCCGGAATTCCCGAAAATTCCCGGAAATTTTTTGGGAATGTGGGAGATTTTGGCGTACGGAGACGATGTCGGCGATGCAGCGGTTCAGGTTCCCTTTGTCGTCCTTGATGGTGATTGGCCGATCCTCGCGGATGCGCTCCATGGCCAGGGGGCAGTCCAGCTGGCAATTCCCAAAATTCCCGAAATTCCCAAATTTCCCAACCCGCTCCCCAATTCCCGAGCCAAAATTCCCAGAAATTCCTGAAAAAATCCCAAAAAAAAAAACCCCAAAAAGCCCAAAATTCCCATTTTTAGCCCCAAATTTCCCACAAAATTCCCAATTTTACACCCAAATTCCCAAAATTCCCGAATTTTCCAACCCGCTCCCAAATTCCCGAGCCAAAATTCCCAGAAATTCCTGAAAAAATCCCCAAAAAAGCCCAAAATTCCCAATTTTAGACCCAAATTTCCACAAAATTCCACAAAATTCCCAATTTTACCCCCAAATTCCCAAAATTCCCAAATTTCCCAACCCGCTCCCAAATTCCCGAGCCAAAATTCCCAGAAATTCCTGAAAAAATCCCCAAAAAAACCCCAAAAAAGCCCAAAAATCCCATTTTCAGCCCCAAATTCCCCCCAAAATTCCCAAATTTAGCCTCAATTCCATCCATGGCCGGGGGCAATCCAGCTGGGAATTCCCAAAATTCCCGAAAATTCCCAAATTTCTCAAATTCCAGCCCAAAAATTCCCAAAATTCTCCAATTTTTTTCCCTTCCATGTCTCTATTTCAGTCAAAATTCAGCACAAAAAACCCACCAAAAAAAAAATCCCCAAAATTCTCCAAATAATCCCAAATTTTCACCCCAAATCCACAAAATTCCCAATCCCGGAATCCCAAATTCCCAAATTCCAGCCCAAAAATTCCCAAAATTCCCCAATTCCATTCCCAAATTTTTACTGCTGCATTTCAGTCAAAAATTAAGGCAAAAACCCCAAAAAAAGTCAAAAAAAACCCAAATTTCGCCCCAATTTCGCCCCAAATCCCTGAAATTTCACCCGAGCTTCCCAAAATTCCCGAAATTCCGGGATCCTCACCCGGAATTTGCGGCAGAAGTCGTCGATGGTGCCGACCTCGCCGCCCTGCACCTGCTTCCC